GAGAGAGAGAGAGAGAGAGAGAGAGAGAGAGAGAGAGAGAGAGAGAGACGGCGCGGTACGGGGTCGGCGGAAAGTCCAGAATCTTCCGTCATCTTCGACGGTCATCCGGTCGCAACGGTGTCGGTGCATGATCGTTTACGAGATACTTGTTCGCAACTGATTTGTGCGCGGTGCAAGTGGGGGGAGGGACTGCACGCGGGGCACGTAGCGATATAAGCGGAACATGGGCCCAGCATCCGCAGTCAGTCAGTCAGTCATTCAGTCATTCAGTGCCCGGTAATCGTGCCCGCCCGGTAGGTCCCTTTCACTTTTCGTGTGCATGCTCCTTCTCTCGATGCCGTCGCCGCGCCGCGCCCGTGACAGACCTTCCGTTGCGCAATTTATCGCGATTTATCGAGGCGAGTCGTCGCGCAAGATTCGTGCTTTTCTTCCTTTTTTTCGCCGTCGCGGTCTTGTTTCCCTGTTCTCTTCTCGGTCTCGAAACTGCCGGCGACTTCGGCAGCTTGACCGACCAAGTTTCGCGCGGTTGAATAAATCCACTCCAGGCTCGTTCTTCTTTTTCTCGTTTCGCGACGCGAAAATCCAGCTCGAGTCCTGAAAATTCGGATCGGTTCGGTTCGTGGCTATTGGCGCGATACCTGCGATAACGTTCGCGCGCGCGGATCGATATTTTTATTGCATAAAATACGACCGGCCCGTAAATAGGCGCGATATCGGCTTTCGCGGGATTTTTCCGGAAATTATGATTTTATCGTGCAGTAAGCTACGGCGGAGCGCTACTAAATATAGTGCGCTGTTGTCGGGAAATGCGAAACTACAATGTAAAGCCGACCCGCACATCGTTGGCAGAAATAGTCCGTGAATGTGACGTACTTAATCCGTGTAACGTCGATATCATACGCGCGCATATCCGATGTAGATATATGCTAATGTTAAATTCAGTAATTACGTGGGACAATTGCGCGGTTTATCGGACTTTAACGTTCAAGCTGACAGGTCAAATTAAACTTTCATACACTCCCGACGATAACGCTGTTTCGATTAATGTAAGTCTCGCGATCAATTACGGGAGAGTCGGATGTCCACGTTATCGTCCACGTTATCGTGGATTACCGTGATCTCCATTAAAAACATTAGACTCACAATTCCACCGATAAGTATTAGATTCACAATTCCACCGTAGAAGTACACCCTTTAAATGTTAGCTTTCTGCACCCAAAAGATATAATAAGTTAATCTTTGTATACGACCTCGAGAGGTTTCTTCTCGAACAAAAAGAAAAATTTTCTAAGCACAATATTCTTAAAGTTAGAGGAATTCGTTCTTTATCTACAGCACAAGAGTCTGGTTCGTAAATAGAAATTTCTTCTAAGAAGGCAAGTAAACATATGCTGCACCTAACCAATTCTCTTGATTGACAAGAAGAATAAATTGAAATAATAAATATTCAGTAAATTTCCGATTAACATTTACTTCGTTAAAAGAGATATTCAGTAAGGTTTTTCGCTTAGTATATGGAATTACTCGCAATTGGAGTTCTTTTTTTTCTTAGATATTAATAAATACTTTTCTTTTGGTTTTAGAAGAATCTCTTTTTAAGATCGTGAGACCTTAAGATAAAAGGATAAGATTGTATGTTTTTCTGAGTGATATATACCGAGAATGATGTTTAGAACTTGTATGTGCTCTTTAAGTTTTATAATCTAGTATACACGGAGAAAAATAATTTGCTGGCCCAGCAAATTTTCTGCTGGTCTAGCAAAATCTTTTCGTTATTATATGGACAGCAAAAAGACTTGCTAAGAGTACTAATCACTATTTGCTGGATATAATTTGCTGAATCTATAAATTATTTTGCTATAAGAATCATGATGGACTTATATAAGCAGTTGCACTTTTGCTCCGATAGCAAATAAATTTGCTAAGTATACATTATTTTGCATCAATAGTAAATTAACGTAATTCTTAGGACAAACACACTTAACAAATTTCTTTTATCCTGGCAACGAAACTACTCTTGTTCTGATAACGAATAATTTGTAAAATTAGTTACGTCAACTAAATTTTTTTGCTGTCACTATAAATATGCCACGACGATTTTGCTAAAAGAACAAAATTATTTTTCTCCGTGTATGTTCTTTGTTACGCTTGTTTTACGCTTTCTCTCTCTCTCTCTCTTTTTCAAAATTTCTTATCTAATCGCGTCACGGGTACTATAATAATCCAACAGAATAGTGATATAATATTTCCAAGCTCTTGTTTGCTCTTTACAAGATTAATCTAGGTTAAATTCGAGATTCTCTTTACGACTCATAAAAAGTAGGTTTCAGGGGAACACGCGCGCATAATCACGCGGTACATTGCGGTAAGTAGTTCCGATTAATCTAACAATATAGAGGCAACGAGTGAACACGCTCGGCGTACATACGCGATGTGTAAAGTCGTTCCCACGGTGCAAGTAGAAACATGTCGCCGTATGTGTGTGTACTAGGTGTCCGCGAAACGCGCCATCAATTCGCCGTGCTTACGTTCATACGCATGGACAGGCTGATCGATGAAGTCGCGCAGGTGTTCCGCTGGATGAACACCTTGCGCGTGGATCGATATTTCGCGGAAGCTCCTTGCCGAGAGCGCCCACCGGTTCCTCCACCCTGTCCGCCTTTCGTGGTATCTGGTCCGTCACGGAAAAATTCCGTGACACGTATATTCGAATTGAGCCGCGGAGAGTCGCTCCGGCCGCGTCCGATCGAGTTCCTACCTATAGCCGCAACGCGAAACTTTCCAGGGCGAATATTCGCGCGCTGAATGCCGGCAAAATTGCATAGTCGCGATTCTGCAGCGACAGTAAATCATAATTCCCGTGACTATAATTAGAGGAATTTTTTATTTTATTCTAAATCTGTATTTTCAAAAAATCGAGTTTAAATCGAGTTAACTGCTTGGTAAAATTTACTTTAAAAAAATAGGAATTTAAAAGGGAGAGTCTACAAGTTTTTTACACAATTTCGCATTTATGTATAATGTGTTAAATCATAATTCCTATACTGAGAAAAAAATTTATTAAATTTCAAAAAATGTTTGTTTGGATAGTACTGTGTGAAGATATTTGTTTAAATTAAATAATTATTTTCTAAAATTAAAGAAACAAATTTATATTTAAAACTTCTTTATTTAATTTTAGAAAATAATTACTTAATTTAAACAAATATCTTCACACAGTACTATCCAAACAAACGTTTTTTGAAATTTAGTAAATTTTTTTCTCAATGTATATTATGATTGAGGGAATAAAATTTTACCCCCGATTCAATTCATATTTCCAAAAAATCGAGATCACCTTTTTGATAAAATTTGTTTTTAAAAGATAGGAATCTTTGGTCTATAGGTTTTATGTACAATTTTGCATGTATATAATATATATTTTCTTTTTCTAATACAAACTTAAGAATGTTCTCTCCATAATATATTTCGGAGCAATATTGTGAAAAGTATGAATTTAGTTCGCGGCACGGAAATAAATTGTTCGATTTTTCGCATGGGCTAACATAACGCGATGGGCAAATGCGAGATATACTGAGCTTGATAAGCGAGTTCGAGCTATCTATTTCATTTGGTGAATTGCTTACAAAGAGAAACGTATCGAGGTTGAATGAGGTAATAATGTTGAACGAGAACTTCCCCGGTAAATAGTACAGTAAAAGTAGATAATAAAAGTAGATTTGACGCAATAAGAAGACAGATGGGACACAGTGAAAGCGACACAAATGTCTCACAACGTCTTTACACTTAGTAAAACGCGAGGTGACGCGAAATTACGAGGAAAATATTTGCGCCAATTGCGTCAGAACAAAGTCAAAACAGAGTCAAAAGATAACGCGCGTCCGCGTTTCAGAAAGGTAAAGAAGTATAGAGAGGAGAACGCACGAATTGATAACGACTCGGAACGCCAGCGCAGAATTTTGTGTCATTTTAATAAATACAGAGACGCGTCTGAGTGAATTAAGAACAAATATATGATAAAGATTTCAGAACATTCCAGTCGTATCAGTTGATCACTCCAGAGTACACAAAACTCGCGCGTGTTTAACGTTTCAGAGCAGTTGGTATCTCTAAGGTCATTCGGCTTAGCTCAAAGACAACCATGAGATAAATCGCGTACGCATATGTCTGAAACGCACACGAACAGTGGAAGGAAATTAATGGCGCGTGGATTCATTTTGCGATTAGAACGCGATCAACGAGTCGTGATGTCGTTCGATAACGTGAACGCCGCACGAAGTGAAGGTGCGCGACCTCAGATATCCCGGGTCTTCTCTTTCTCTCTATCTTTCTCACCTTCACTTTGATGGGTCTTTTTCATTCCACGTGCCTGCCTCGTCTTTTATACGAATTACGTAAGCGTGGCCTGCTTTCTTGAAACGCACGGTAATCATGAGAGCCGTGGCTTCGAAAAGCCACGAAGCGCCATGTCGCGGGAGCGTATCGATTTGTCCTTTACTTGCGTGTTACTGTAGGACAGCGCGTCACGTTATAATACCGAGTCGCGTTGGTTAACGTTAATGGGTTTCGGGTGGACTTGTAGTTCGGTCAGGGGCTGCAGATGCGCGCCGTATAAATTGCGTTTGCATTCGCGTGAGACAAACGCGCAAATTGAATTACGGCAGGTGTGCGCGGTCAGCGAGGACCGATTATTTCTTTTAACGATAAGCGCGATGTGAAACGCGCAGTAGACGCTATGATTCAATTTGGGAAAATCGGTCGCACGTCTACGACCAAGTCGCAATTCAGCCGAAATATTAGTTTCTCTTTTATAAATCTATGTAAAAGAAAAAGAAAAGAAGTACAAAATATCGCAAACAGAAAAAATGTTGTAACAAAAGTTACGTTAAAGTTACATTTCTTTTTACAATGTTTTTAAAATTGGAGAGCACTGAAATTGTAGTACAAATTACTACTGGAATTGTTGATTTGCCGACCCATATATACGATATAAAAAGATATTCAGATAATTGCAGTAATTTTGTAGATAAAAGTCACATGTGCATAACATATTTTTAACTAAATACAATATAATTTCGTTTATAATTCTATGGCCAAAAGTTAGCAAAATTTTATTGTAACTTTCACTACAATATTTTCTCCGTGCAGCTTTCACAGTTTTGCACCCTATGCCAAAATTGAAGAAGGGTTTTTTTGAAAGGCGATATATACAAGACAAGTCATGCAGTTTGTTACACAAATCGTTATCTTAATATATAACCAATAAGGATATGATAAAAATGAATAACGAATGTGCACTTTTCTTATCTAACCGTTATCAAGTAATTTTGCAATGTCTAAAAATACCGATCTAATTTTGTATAGTTAGTTACTTAACCTACGAGTTATTGCGCAGTACTCAGTTTTCTGTTATTCTTTTTACAGTTCTAACACACAATGAGCCGAATGATGATATTGCTGTTGGGAGCTGTGACTATCGTTGCAGCCGAGGTATGTCCGAAAATCCGAACGTTGTGCTACTAATTTGTCGCGCGCCAATCCACTTTCGCGCTAATGAATAAATCGCCGATCGGCCTTTCAACGCGGCACAATTGTATATCGTGACAAGCGTGTTTGTAGCACAATACGTTTGTAATTAACAGTACGATAGGATTCCAAATTGCGACAGTCGATATTTGCGAATAAATTCGCGCTCGTAATACGAGTAATGAAACGATATGCGATGTGCCTTTCAAAATCATATAGAATATAAGATTCAGTTTCATGTGGATGTTACTTTTCACGAAGCAAAGTTTAACAACCGCTTCTTACAATGCTCAATATCATCAATTGAAAGTTGTATCGCGGAAATTCGATATTTATGATTCGTACTTATTATATATGTGTTGATGAAAGAAGTGTTGAATACAAGGCGCGATTCCTTACATCAAGCGCAAGCAATAATACCAATACCGCCGCAAATATTGCATGTTTCTTTATTAGATTATTTTTTCAGACAAAAATATCTACAACTGTTTCAAATTCTGTTTCTCTTCTATATATCATATTTGATCATGCATATTTGATTAAGTTTTTAAATCTTGGTGAGGAAAACTATATTGTGTTCTAAAAATTTCAAAATAGTATTGCGTGCATGATACTTTATTCCTAAATCTAAAAGAATAGTCGTATCCAAGAAATATTCGATCGATTTTATCGATGGGAAAAATCTTACCTGCTTCCGGGTGAAAATCCCTCGCTGTTCTACTATAACACGCCACGTTGCTGCTGATGCAATCGTACTGATCGCGTCGAATCGGCTTGATTAGGAGTTGGTGGCGGTCGTTCATCTGACGCCACACGACGTTACCGTGAACAACGTCACGGGTAACCTGAAGATCGTCCAGTCCGTCCCGAATGGACCAGTCACTATCACCGGAACGATCCACGGTCTCGCAGAGGGACTTCACGGCTTCCACGTGCACGAGAAGGGAGATCTGATCAACGGCTGCACATCCGCCGGGGCGCACTTCAACCCTGAGAACGTGAGTGTCCCGCAGAATTTTTTCTCTTTCCACTAAGTTGACTTGTCTAAAAGCAAATCATTACAGAATTCGAGTTAGTTCTCTGCTTTATCGTAAAATTGGAAATGAAATAACTGTTCGAACGACAAGTTTTCCCTCAATTTGAAAGTATGCTGAAAATCGGAGATAATTTTTACTTCCACACTGAGATTTGTGGGATAAGACTTACTTTTGGAAGTGAACTTTATATCCCTCAAATAAATTTTGAAATATTTTTTCTCAGTGGAAAGAGAAGTATACGTAAAATCTGAGGCTTCCCATTTCAATCTCAGACCTCTTCACTTCGACTGTTATGTTTAATTTTTAATTATAACGTAATAATTGATTATAATAGAACAATGACGTTTTTACACGAAGAAAAAAGATTTACGGAATTAACATGACGATGAACGAACTAAATGCCTTTTGGTTGAACAAGTTAGAATTTTTGATTCTTAGAAGCAAATCTGGTTCTGTTCTCTTCAACCAAAAGAAGTTTAGCTCGTTCGTTGTCGCGTTAATTCGACCAAACTTTTCCCTCCGTGCATGAAAAATTTGTTCCGAATGTTTCTCGAGCCCACCCGTTTATCTTCTCCTCTACTGAACATGTTTAACACTACTCGGATAGTCGAATACACTAATAATTCCGTCAGGTGACTCATGGCGCGCCGGAAGACACGATCAGACACGTCGGTGATCTAGGAAATATCCAGGCGAATTCCGACGGAGAGGCGGTGATAAACATCACCGACAATATCATCTCCCTGAGCGGGCCGCACAACATTATAGGTCGGTCCATAGTCGTTCACTCCGGCGAGGACGATCTCGGCAAGGGCAACCACACTCTTTCCTTGACGACCGGGAATTCCGGGGATCGTTTGGCCTGCGGTGTTATTGGCATCCAGTAGGTTATCTCTTCGCGAATGTATTTCCCTCTCGTGTTCGCTTCCTCCCCGCGTCATCCGCCGCCAGTCAAGCAGTGCTTCGTTTCCGTTTCCTTGGCTTGCAACAGCTGCGCGTCTCAACCTGCGTATTTGTAACGTCGGAATCGCCAGATTTCCGGCAACACGACGGACACCAAATTCGTCGTGGCGCGTTAATTTGCTTTTCGCTTGTTTGTCGACCAAACATTCGCTCGTTCGTCGCGATTTTGCCGCGTGAGCGCATCGGACGGACGAGATGATATGTTCCCGTTCGGCGTCAGCCGAGAATGCCTTCCCCGGTGTTAATGTGCCATCCGGCAATGTGAGTTAGGATATTAATTATTATTGTCACATCATTGTTGTAATTGCGTGTGTGGTGTCGCTTGTAATCTCACCATCGATTGCGCGAAAATACCCGAGATCGCGCTCCAAAATTGCACGCTTCATTGTGTTCTGCACGTTACAGAAAAATCTGAAGGGCACTTCCGAAGAAAATGTCAGCCGTCGACGACGGGACGAGAGAGAAGGATCGATACACACCCACTCGTAGAACTGACTTAGAAATACGCCCCGATTAAAGTTGACTCGGTACTCTCGAGACGATTGTTCTCCGCAAGCACTCTCCCTCCGTAAGAATCGACGTCGCGCGATTTCGCGCGAGACACTGTCGCTCCCATGACAAAGCGATATAGCGATTAACAGAAACAACGCACGATGTAAACGCATGTGATATGTAATATTCTCACTTCCCTTCGAGATCTGTTACTTCGTAGTGTGTGTCCATGCTTTGACACATATACTTGATGATACTTTTAACAAAAGTACATTACTTCGTCCCTCTGTGTGCTCATCCCTTCTTGCACTTTATCCTGTATCCGCTCGATCGCTTTCCGTGGACGTGTATGCGCAAGGAAGGATTAGATTGCGAGATTGAAATGGAAAAACATACGGAGAGCGTGTGTATGTATGTATGTGTGTAACGAAAAAAACGTTTCCATTCGTATAAATTATTTCACGATCGTGCGTACCAACACTTTAGATCTAGATAATACGTTATGTAATGTGTATACTCCCATGACAATTACAAGTAGACTCGCGTAGCTAACTTGCTTCCTTCTCTCTGAAACTGTATTTTCGTGCTAATAAAGTGACTTAGTGATTAATATTTCATTAACTTACGAACTTCTTGTGAGACACGAATAAAGTTGAGAGAGTTAATCCCCACATTGTTATTCTCCACGACTATTGTTCGAGGAACACACGTCGCAAGCTGCACGCCACCTTGTTAATTGTGGAAGGTTATCAACATATTATTATATTAACATATTATTAGTCTAATAACAATCACTTTCTACACGTACACCAAGAAAGAAAATGTAATCTCATCCTTAGTGGAATATCCTCTTATATATCTGCCTCTTATATATCTTATATCTCTGCTAGGAGGATTCAAAATTCTAAAATTCTTCTAAAATCAAAGAAGAAATATTGTAAACACGATATTCTTAAAGTTAGAGGAACTTCGTCTTTTATTTAGCTTGTAAGCAAGACTTGTATTTTAAATATTGTGTCCTTCGTCTAGATTTTAGAGGAAAAAAAAGTTTGAATAATATCTAGTAATATCTACCAACATATCTAGTAGATTTTCAATTAACAGTCTATTTCATTAAAAAAGAAACATTTTTTTCGTTTAGGGATTAGAACAGGAAATTCTATTTTGCAATTAGTTCTTTTTTAGTATCAACTTAAATGAATAGATATTAAAAAATAAATCTAACTTCAAGAATATCGTGCTTAGAATATTGAATATTTTTCTTTTGAATTCTTTTACAAGAATCCTCTTGAGGTTAACACATAAAAGGGTTCGGCTAAGAATGAGATTTTTTTAGGTGACACACACGTGCATAACGATTATGTGAACGATTATAAAATATTTCCAAAAATTTTAACAGTTCTTCGAGAATTCCTTCGCTTCCAACAAATTGTGTCACATATCTCGTAGTTATCTTCTGTCGGCATGCTACCGCAACAGATTCGTGCTACTCGAACGTCGACTGATATCGCCGATAAATAATTCAAAGTCGCGTGATATTCATCCGCTTATAGCCGTACCACAATCATGACGTAAAGTTAGTTACAATTTGCAATTCCAACATGTGTTACTGTGCGTCGGTCACATTTGAATGCAGATATGAATCTCGGGTCTTATGGCGTGCATTAATATGTTTCTACGTAATTAGACGAGTTTTGCGGGGTGAAATGCGTTGTTTTCCGGAAATTCTAGTGCCGACGCGTCGTGCTTACGACCGCGCAATGACACGCAACAGTCCAGTTAAGAATATAATTATCGATCCCTTTAATGTTCCTGCTTCCAGGTCGCCGACAGGCAGTTGGAACTCTGGCTCGTTCACCTCGCCGAATATGTCAACTCTCGTGATATTCTTGCTCGTGGCCGCTTATCAGCACCTCAAGTATTAACGACCCCGTGGGAAGCTGGAGTAATTGCGTATCCTCGTCCAAAGATAAATAAATTATGTTCTCGTATTTTCGTCCCGAGGTAGGTACAATCGCGAGGGTCGCGTGAGAAATCGATTGCTGATGATTCGACGATAATTACGACCGCGGCGATTGATGACAAACGAAATTTCACCGGAAATCGTGGCCCAAAGAAAACATCGATACCTAATTGTGGAACAATTCGATTATACGAGGAAAAGGCACTCGGTCGTTGATTGTTGTTTTACAAGGAAATACATGGAAGCGTCCGTCTTCGATTTTGATGAGTTTAAAATATATTGTAATCTAGATAAAAATAAGGGATACGTTCTTTTTTATACGTGCCTAATCGGCCTTTTAAGGGTGTTTTAGGGATAATGATAGAAAATATCAGTCCAGAAAATTTGCTGTTTCAAATTCTCATGGTTTCTCTTCTATATAATCACTTTTATATCATGCATATTTGATTAAGTTTTTAAATGAAAAAACGACCATTTAGATTTAAGAAAAATTGGTGAGTAGTGCTGATATGTTTAAAATTATAACATTTCTGCGAAAACTGAGAAAAAACGTTATTATAAATCACTTTTCGAACCATTTAATTTTTATCCAACAAGTTTTTTCTATTTTTTATATTGTTGACAAAACATATTCCAAATCGGAAAATACTGATTTATTCAACCTTTAAAAAGACGATTGAGCACGTAAAAAAAGGTAAGGAAACGATTGAGCACCTTAAAAAACGTATTTCTTATTTGGTCTAGATTACAACATATTTGAAGCTTATCAAAATCGAAGGCGGACGCTTCCATGTTAATATAATTCGCGAAACGCAAGTCGATTTGTGGTGACAAAGACAGCATAATCTACTAAAAGATGTTTCAAAGACGACCTATTTCTTTTAGACATCTTTTAATAATTGGTGCTGTCTGAGGATTCTTGTGTGTATAAATGTGTGATAAACTTGACACGGTAATTGCATTTATTATGTACTTATGAACATCGAACTGTCTACTCAAGTTAAATTGAAACATCGAAAAGATCGATTTCACGATCACGTATACCTGTGTAAGTGTGCGCGCATTTCATTCGAATAAGGAGTTTCACACTTATGTCATCAAATCAGCTCAGATAGTACGTATCATTTAGAAATGTTCACGAAAACATTCTACAAACGGTTATTAAGAATCCCATCTCGAGTCGAAATTTTGATGTTACTTTGACGCTCTTAAGGATATTTTGCGCTTACTTAGAAAGTTTATAGCCTAGGTAAAACCTACTTTGACGATATTGATACTCATTAATTTTTCTTTTGAATCTTTAACTCTACCTTGTCAAAATTTTGACGCTGCTTTGACACTCTTAAAAATAGTTTGAGCCTACTTAGATAATCTACAATCTAGGTGAAACCTATTTTGACGATATTGACACTCATTTCCGAGTCGAAATTTTGATCCTATGTTGAATCTTGAATTCTACACCGTAATAGGAGCTAAGATAGCAAAGCAGGTTTAATTCTAATGATATAATTTACTCCTACTTTGACCTTGATAACGTCTGAAATATATCCAACAAATAAAATATATATTTTGTATGTTATTTGACGTTTCTGTTTCGTTATTTATTAAATTTTTTAAATATTTCTATAAAATACATATATTCTATGTAGGAACTAAAGTTTCAATAGAGATTCGCAACTGAACCTACTTTGCTTCCTAAGATCTTATTATACAACGTACTTTGACGCTAAAGAAAGCAAAAGCGGAAATTTCAGATATCATCAGGGTCAAAATAGGAGTAAATTATATCATTAGAATATTAAACCTACTTTGCTATTTTAGCTTCTACTGCGATATAAAATTCAAGATTCAACATAAGGTCAAAATTTCGATTCGGGATACGTTTAAAAAACGCATGTGAAAACAATATGTGCTACTAAAGACATTTTAACGTTACTTAGAAATAGGCTGATCTGTCCAGTAATTGAATTCACTCAGTCATTGAATTCATTCATTCACTCAGTAAATGAACGATTTATAGTATTTATTATTTATTACGATATTGTATATGACGCACTTTATAGTTCAAGGGAGTAACTAGAGGTAACTCACAGATTGTGTAATTATTAAAAAAAAGTGCGTCGCAGAAGATTAACTCGGTTTCGCCAGTTCAAATATTGAAATTTATTATGTCTAAGGGCCGGTTTTTCAATGATAGTTTAAACTTAGATTTCAACTTAAACTCTGTTTAAACAAAATAAACGCATTGTTAGAATAGAGTTTAAACTTGAATTCAAGTTTAAACTGCTATTGAAAAACCAGCCCTAAGTGTTCAGTTTTACTGGACAGGTTATTCTACCTGCTTCGCGCTATGTGAGGAAATGATTCACTTAAAACGATATGTGTCTCAGGTATATTCTCTACTGAGTATTGTACAACTTGCAATGTATACTTAATCATTCAATTGCGAAAGACGTGCAATACGATTGAGCAATAGGTAGCTCGGTGGACAAGAAGGTGATCCGCCTTTTCTTTTGTGAGTTTAGAAACATATCCTGTCTCGCCCAGTGGGAGAATTCTCACATTGGAAAACAAATTCTTTTCGATCGTGTGAAGAAGATAGGATATGTCCTTGAACTCATCAAGAAGGAAATGTGGACGATCTTTCTGCTTGTGATTGTACAAAGTGTTACTCGTGATAGAGCAATCGATTTCGTCAACGTTAATGTTATCCGTATGTACGAGTCAATATTACGTTATACAATTTACGTGAATGGCGTACACCTCTGCTTTCGATAAATTTAGGGTAGACGCAGATAAATGTCGTCATTCCACTGAATTATCGGACGCAAATGTATTTATTGATCAAATTGCAAATTTTCCTCAGTGTACGTTTCTCTCTTTCTTTCTGTGTTTCCATTTCTCGTCTATAATGTCACTTTATTATGAATATTGTTTGTATAACGAGGCAATTTGCTAAAATAAAGTTTTGTTTGGTGTAAAAGTTGTCTCGTTATTGCTATCCGTAGTCACTAGTCTCGAGTTCGATTGTAAAGCTACTCTTTTTTAGCACGCCAATTAAACAATTTTGTAAATACAATTTTTTCAATTTTACTAACGTGTGCACAAAATTTTTTGTGTTAATGTAAAGTTTGGTTTCAACACATTTAAATTGAAGAACATAAAATTTACGGTTCTTATAATCCAAATTTTCCCGCAAGAACCAGAATTTCTCTTAGTCAAAATACGTTGATTCGTTCATTACAAAATCAAACTTCACGCAAATTTAAATATTTTAAAACTTAATATATATAAAAACTCTATTAGTGTTTTCAGGTGTTGCGTCTTTATATAACTTTAGAGGAGGTTTTTTGTTGATTATATTCTCTTCTTTCACTTATGTATACTTATGTGTATGTGTGTGTGATCTCGTAAATGAATAAGATTGTTATTATTAACGTCAATACAACCAAAACTTTTTTGTCCGTGTGGTCAAGCGATAAGGGCAACGGAAGAATTTAACGATCGTCGTAGAAATATCGAGCGATAGTGAAATGTACGAGGAGCGCGCCAGGAAAGATGTTTCAGTGTAGCGCGGCGGTTGAAGCTTAAATAGTAACGTGTTATCATTATGCATGTACTATTACATAGGTAGGCAGCTACCTGAGGAATGAGCACGGTAACTATATTCACCGTACATTCCCATTAACCTATATACATGTCATGTGGCACGGCACGAACGGATTTTCGAGCGCGAACACCCCGTGCATACGAGACCCGAGCGAAACTTCTCCCCTTGTTAAGCTCTAGTCTATCGAATCACGAAAACCGCGTTACACTCGTGCAACTCGCTCGTGACCCATATCGTGCGATCGGCGTGTAAATAATGTGGCATTATTGAACTGCGAATGCGGCTTCAACGTTTAGCGCTACGCTCATGTTTTGCCTGATCTCCAATAACTAAATAAAAATTGTCGCCGCAATGCAGGGCGGAGTTTATGCGTGTTCATTGAAGTGTACACACGACGCCATGGAGATCCTATCATTCTTGAGAGTTACACGATTTTCTTCCAACACATAATACTTGAGGTTGAAAATCAAAAACAAATAACTCTGTTATAATCATTAAGTTTTAATTATAGCGGTTATAATCTTATTCATATAGGATCGGAAATTGTATAACTCTCGATCTAGAGAATAATAGGATGTCTAGGACGTATACGCTGTGTATACGAAATAACATTGTGTCATTCTACGAGTTGACTTGTATCGTGAAAAAGGACACAATCCCTCTGTCAAATCACTTGGAAGAAATCGGGAAAGGCGAGTCTATGTGTGTACTCTTTAAATTTCTTGGAGCGCAGTCTCAGGGTCGGCTAGGATCTATTCGAGTTTGCAAACACCCTTTGAAGCACGTAAAGAAAGATTAGTCTATACAGCGCTCCGAAGCGTTTGCAGCGTTAAATGGAATAGATTCTGTCTATATGAATGAAAAATCGAGTGACCTGACGGTTGCTGTACTTTCCCAATGAAATTTAGAAACTTCAAGAACTTTAAAGAATACTGCCAGTCCTTCCAAGACTGCTTAAGACACAAAGAAAGGAAGAAGAAAATACCAACGAATAGTTAATCAACCCAGATATGAGTACGTAGAATCAACAGGGTCAACAGTTAAGGTCTGGCGTGCACGCGAACTATATCGGCAGCGCGATCGAACCGCCGTCGAGAAATCTTCCCGCGATTAATCTTCTAAATCTCGCGCAGAGACGCCAACGGCTTCCAGATCGATGATGGCACGCGGGCTAGGCACCGGCCGAAGAGGACACCGAACTCCCCGACAACCCCGGTAGTGGATTCACGATTCCGTCGAAGCTCATGGCCAGCTTTTACGAGTTCGCAAATACTCGCCCTCCCTCTTATCTTCCGCCGTTGTTCATTTTTTTTCTGCTCCCTGGAAAGCCGTGGCCGGGGTTATAGCGATGCGCCCCGGGGTGGCCATGGTTACCATCAGCGATCACATAGCACCTTCGGCCAGGATACCGACCAATGGCGGGCTGGTAACGAGCCGATGGGTTCGTCGACAGAACTTCGTGCATCGCCCTGCCCGGACGACCAATGGGGCTGTGGCTGCCTCTTCGTGTTAGCCTGGTGGCCGAGGATTTCGATCGAAACCTTTCGTCGCCCCCAAGAGGCACCACCTGGATCAGCCCGCACTGACCGAACGGCCGTCGCACGGGGCGCAAGCGGTCGATTATGCGTCTCGCTTTTTGAGTTGCCGCGAAGCGTCTCTTGTTTGGAAGCAACTGTAAAATCGATCAGACGGCTCGAAGAGACAACTTGGCACCATGGAGTCCTGCGGGATGAACGTCATCAAGTACATCCTCTTCGTCTTCAATCTAGTCTTCGCGGTGAGTAGAGTGAGACGACGGTGTGAAGCGCATCTCTTCGCAGACGACTCGAGTGGTCTCTTCAAAAATGATTCGAGCGAAATGATTCGCGCTCTCTTGGTCCTTTTTGCGGATTTCCTCGAATTTGTGTGAGTGTATTTGTCGTGTCTCCATCGATTTTTCCGGACGCCTTCGTGATACTTTCGAGGACGAGCTTGGCACGCAAAGAGGCGTGACGATTCGTGACACTTTGAATCATAATACCTCTCTTGAGGGCGGTTCCATGATCAATGAGATGCGATTTTTTATTTCTTGGAAGAGAAATTGAAGAAGCGAGGTACATGGGGAGCAGGAGAGATATATTATAGTTGGCAAAATTGTTTCTTCTGTAGATATCTGGTATAGGTATTATCGCGGCCGGAGCGTTGGTGTTGGCAGATGTTGGCGAATTCAATCATTTCATGGAAGGAAGGATAATGGCTCCGCCAATAGTGCTTATAGTTGCGGGGTCTATCGTTTTCATCATAGCTTTTCTGGGCTGTTACGGCGCGATCAAGGAGCATTACAACATGTTGATCGCCGTAAGTTGAGGAACCAACGCGCGACATACGAAGTTCAAATTAAGACGCGTGATCCAAATAATTCTTGAAGTAACATGAAGTAACATGAAGTAACAAAGAAACTATCATCTTCGTTTCATGCGAGTCTATCCGCTAAACTATGTTTCCATCCCGGACGCGTCATTTATTGATTGGTTAATTCACGAAGTCACAAATTAATTTGTAAAAAATGATCTACAGTTCGCGGCCGCGCTGTTAATAATCTTCGTGATCGAGCTGGCTGTCGGTATTGCCGCGGCGGTGTTCAAGAACGATTTCAGCGTGGCGATGAAGGATACCTTGAAGGAGTCGATGAAGAATTACACGGACGCCGACAAGGAGGCCTGGGACAACGTGCAGAAAAAGGTCAGTATACTGAATCTGGAGCGTGAGCTCGCCTCTAATGGGTTTGTCGATATAGAGGCGAAGTGTAGCCTCTAAATCGATGTAGCCTCCGTGCTACGAGGAAAACAATGGTGGGTGGTGCGGCCTGGTGATTCCCGTGATAGTGGGCAAAGTCGAACGGGCACCATCGCGTGCGAATAACAAGCGAGCGATTAAAGTGACTCTCGCGCGAGTGCACCGACTACCGTGCGCCAACATCGGCCGCGGCGATTCCGTGTCCTTAACTGCTCCTTTCGCTGCGGCCACTTGGTCGAGGCGGCATCGCGAAACGAGCGATCGTCCTCTAAATTATTCATGAATTGAACCACCAATCGTTCGATGATCGTTCGATTAATCGCCTGCGCGCTCAACAGCTGCAATGTTGTGGCGTGGATGGCCCTTCCGACTGGAACACGGGATTCAGACCCTTTCCGTCCTCCTGCTGCACCACGGACATGCAGGTGATATGTCAGTACGGCAACCCGACCATGTACAAGGACGGATGCTTCAGCAAACTGGAAATGCGAGTCATGAAGGGCGCTACGGTCTTGATCGGCGTGGGCATCGGGATAGCTTTCGTGGAGGCGAGTATAAATACGTTTGATCGTGTTATCTCGTTTGTTTTGCCGGATATTTCAGTTGGACGAGTCGAGGCTCTACATGTATGATACCATGCCGGTATTCGCCCCGTCGAGATCAAACTAAACGAGTTTCGAGTGAGAGCATGCCAAGAAAGATGAATAAATGCATGGGTTGGCTGGTGGTTTCTCGTTAACGTGGAACTAATGTATATATATTGCATAAGTGTTTCGAGAGAATATTATTTGATTTCGGAACTACGCAAGAATATACTCTCTTGTTAAATCCGCTGTCGCACGGCGGATCTATCGGGCTTTCCGCCACGAAATTACGTTCTCTTTCTTTCAGATTGCCGGCATTGTCCTCGCTTGCTGCCTCGCCACGGCCATAAAAAGGGAAGGTGACAAATGAAACGAGGTGTATTGATTTCATTTCGCGTTGCGTTAGATCCAGCCGCATAATTCGTCGCGCAATCGAGCAAATTGTTAGAAGCGTCGCATTCAATCATCGACAAAGGAACGTGCGATCGAACACTAAGCGTCTCGTTTGCCGTTTATTCGCGCATTGCGCTTCCCCGCTCTCGCGATGTTCTCCACGTTCGCCTAATTCCTACACAGGGCACAGGGTACGAACCTATTTCAGGCTTTCACACCCGATACGTTTGTTACGTATTTTGTAATTACGCTGAGTATTTTTGCCTTTATACACGTAAGCAATAAGCGTACACTCCAAATAATTAAAAAGATATTCCTAGAATAGACATTAAATTCCTCCATTGTTTCAATTATATGTTGAAATGATTGTTCTCGATTGATGCGAATATGTTGTCGAGTGTTAGTTTGTAATCATAACATACGCATGTGCAAATATTACCAGATAATATAAGATATCTATGAATTGATATCCAATTGGTGTTGTCAACATATATTTATAATATATCATGTATATTTAATCTTTATATGTATATCGCTGATACACTTATTTATCTCTATAATCTTTTGCCTATTGAAGACTCCATTTATTTTAATGGTGGATAATGGATTCTTTAGGTGGAAACTGTATTTATACAAATTTAGTAAGCATACATTTTTCCGTTAATTGTGCATATTGTTGCAATTTTAAATTTGAATAAATGTACATTACCATAGTTTTGATATACGATAATAGCTAGAGATATTTTCAGTGTTGCATAATTATTGTTTGTTTTATCTATATTGTACACATACATACATATACATACGCACAAGTGTTATTTTATATTTATTATTTACGAATAAGCAGTAATGTGGAAATCCTCTGCGAAAATAAAACATCTGGTATATGTGTTGTATATTAAAATTTAATTGTCAACACACTTTCGTTTTTACAGAAACTCCGCATTTACAAAATAAAAATTTATTAATATACGGAATCATGCAAGATCTCTGGAAGTTGTTGAGCCCTCGTCAGTAGATATTTATTACGATATTTGCCTCTTTTTTCTAAAAATTAAAGAAATATTAATTCTACTACACATGGACAGAATTCTAAATTAATTGTGAGAATATAGGAAAAAATATCGGTAAGATTTCTTAGAGAGAAAGAGAGATCGTCAATTTTTCTCCCAATAACAGACTTCTTTACTGATCTTAAATTGATTACTTTTTAGTAGTAGATGGATAGATAATGGAAATTTTCAAATAGCCTGAAACCTTTCAATATCATATATTAATTAATTCAATGTTAATTTAATTTTAAATAATAGGATATAGCAACTTCAAATCCGTTAAGCGATCTGGTATTGGGAGGAAAAGTCGCGAGAATGCGTGTCATTATATATTTGAAAAAATGTTTCATGAGATATTAGAATAACTTTAAAAAAAAAATTCATAGATATTAACATGTGATGTAGATGGGACATTCCTATGAATATTCCTACATGTATTTTGTTTCGCCTCTTCCACATTATCATTTTTATCCGAATTTTTGGCCTCTTCACTTTCTTTGGCAAGCTCCTTTTTAATCTCATTTTCCTCTTTCTTCTCTTCTTTTTCCTTCTTCTCTTCCTCCTTTTTTTTTACCTCTTTATCTTGTTCCTTTTCTTCTTTTTCATTTTTCTCTTCTTTTTCATTTTTCTCTTCTTTTTCATTTTCCTTTTCTTTTTCATTTTCATCTTCTTTTTTATTTTCCTCTTCTTTTTCATTTTCCTTTTCACTATTTTGAATCTCGTTTTCGACGCTTACAGATGCCACTTGAGGCCTTGGAATTTTTAGACCTTCCTTTTCCAGAAATGCGCGTTTTCGTTCTCTATTATTAATGATTGTACATTGCACAGACGACAGCATGATTACGAAGATCTACGAGCAATAATTTAATTATGGATTTAAGTCGCAAAATAAAAGAAAGACAAAAGATGTTAAAAAAAAGTAAAAAAATTCTAAATTGATCGAAGAATTTGTCGACATGACACTGACAATAACTACTGGATATTTTGTATGTTTAATAATTTTTATGAAACGTTTTACCTGCATGAGCCCAATGAATAAGAGAATGGAGAAGATAATCCAAGCGTAATAACGCGCCATGCGAGTAAACTCCTTGAAGCAACTATTAGTTTGCAAATAAGGAGAACCTATGACGCATTTCGTTTCGTCATTTCGACAACAAGACGCAGGAATTTCTGTTGAATACCACGTAGTGATATCGTCAAGTCCGCAACAAGAAAACTGCAATTTTTTTATTAATTACATTATTGGAATTTTGTCAATAAAAAAAATTTTGTTCTTATTCTTTCTGAATAATCTAAACAATTTTTATGAACTGACGGTATAAGTGAAAAAATAAAAAAAAAAACCTCCCCGGCGGGGAATCGAACCCCGGTCTCCCGCGTGACAGGCGGGGATACTAACCACTATACTACCGAGGAGTGTTGGAAATCTAGCAGCTTTTAACAGTACTCATGTTCCAATGAGCTTTAAATATAGACTAAAGAAACACGATAATTATTAATTTTACATGAAAGATATTGTTTGTGTGTGTATGCATATGATTATATATGTACACACACACACATATAAATATAAATATATATATATATATATATATATATATATATATATATATA